CACTGCAAGCCGCTATAATTTTGGTAGTAAAATGTATAGCTATGGCAAAAGTTTACAAGGCAGTATCAATGACCCTGACGGAAGCTTCTGATACGTCGTGTTTACCCGTAGGTTGGAACAAGTGTATTTTGTGTCAGTGAGACAGACAAAAAAAACAGCAACAACACTTTATTCACATTTCCATCGCAGGGTTTGTCAAACTTATTGAATAATTAGTAACTTAACACGTAGAATATTCAATTACAATTTAAACTAAATTTTATTACATAGAAGAAAATGCCTAGCGGCTAGATAACCGTAAGGTTTTCGAGCTAGCAACTAGTTCTTTGAAAGTAGTGTCGAATGTACAGGACATCACAATAACTAGACATACAAAACATCTTAAGACATACACACACCATAAAAAAAAAAAAGAAGAAAGCACATAGATGGCAAAAAAAGAAGAGAAAACAGTCATCATATTACATGACGATATGATTAAAATAAAATAATTTCAGTAAGTTAATTGTTCGGCCAACAAGTATTCTTTTAATGTTTTAGGAAAGTTATAAGTTGAAAGGTCTTTTATATGGGTAGGGAGCTGTTGCCACAATTCGGTCGCCATAGCCGCTGTTGTTTGCTTTCCTATATTGGTCCTGGAACGTTGTTTTGTGGAAGTTACTTTTTGAAGCATATCTCGTATTATATGTATGGACTTCACTTGCATGGCGAAAATGCTGATTAAAGATATTTGGTAATTTTTTAGAAGGCCACTGATGAGTGAAGTTAAGAAGCTGTAGTTTATAGATATTTGTAACAGTAAGTAAATCCAATAAATTAAGTAATGGTAATGCACTGTCTGTATCTGGTCCAAACAAGGTGGCAAAGAGCATAAGGCGGATAACATTATTTTGTTTTGTTTGGATTTTTTAATTTGAGTAGTAAATGCACTGCCCCAGGAGGTTATCGCATAAGATATATAAGGATAGATCAGGTTATAGTATAGTTGTTTAAGTTGTAAAAGGGAGGAGCAGTATCTGAGTTTGCCAACAATTCCTGTGTTTCTAGAAATTCGAGTACATAAATAAGACACCTGATGTTTCCATGATAGCGTGTCATCTATAAGTACTAAAATATTCAAGAGCTGATCGTTTTTGTCAGGGCTTTCAAGAACGTTCTCAAATAAATCTCTTTCTTTAAGCGTAAGAACAGTATCGTACACCCATGATCCCACAGCTTTCGCGAATTCTCGTCTGTCTGTTAAGCCATAAAATGGCTTCAGACACATCCGAAATCCTGTCTTGTCCGGCTGATTCTAAGCGTATTACGAAAGGAGCAGGTTATAAGACTGTGGCAAAAAATCTTCAAGCTTTTGACAAAATTGGTTGTTTGCCTAAAACAATAAATCTGTCCCGATTAAATGGAGGAGAAGGAATCGAAGCGAGTTTCCAGCAACATAAAGCCAAATGGCATGACTCGTGTAGACTGAAGTTTAACAAGCCGAAACGCCAACGGGCAGAAAAGAGAAAAGCAGCTCCAGATGATAGTTCAAGATCAAAAAGCCCAAGAAAATGCACGCGTAGAAGCCTTGAAAAGTTACCAAACCTTATTCATCATTACTTCTTCTGTGGTAAGTTAAGCAAGCTGAAGGTGAAGAGTCCTTACACAGAGCATCGACACTTGAGCTTGATGCCCGAGTTCGTCACTGCGCTTTACAGTTACAGGACAAACCTCTATTAATAGCCAAACTGAGTGCTGGAGACATGGTAGCTCAAGATGCTGAATATTATGTCAAATGCCTTGTTTCTCTTTATAACAGAGCACGAGGAACCGAAGCATATAGTGCAGAAAGTGATGTGGATGCAGTTAATCACGGCATTGCTTTTGCTGAACTTGTTTCTTATATCGAAGATGCAAGAATGGACAATCTGGTAGCCCCAATTTTCAAATTGTCTGACCTAGTCAGTCTATACAGCAACAGGCTTAAACAACTTGGAACAAAAGTAGCGGGACGCATCCTCTCAAGTAAACTCAAGATTAGAGTGTTGAACTACTTTTCAGACATGGAAGCTCATACCCAAGGCCGTGAAGTTATTCTCGCTTTCAACGGGGATGTTGGTGCCGCAGTGAGAAAAGCATGTGAACATGACGCTGATGGGGATGCTGTTCATCTTGCTAGGGCTGCCACTATAGTCAGAAGAGATATGTTCAGTACGAAAATGGAATTCAATGGCTCATTCTCCACTTCTTGCCAGGAACAGTCTGTGCCTAATTCACTGCTAGCACTGGTTACTATGGTACTTAATGGACCAAATATCAAATCACGTTCCTCCAATGTGTCTCAGGCTGCCCTTTCACTGTCTTAGCTTCTTCTATACAACAGCGTGAAGCGCTACAAGCAAAATCATACATATATTGTCCGACACAACCAACAAGGAGAAGCATCTCTACCAGTCTATTTAGGTGTGATGCTTCATACGAAGAACAGGAAACGTGAACTTGTGGACGCCCTTTTTAACCTTAGCTTGTGTATATCGTATGACCGTGTATTAAAAATCTCCACTGAGCTGGGAAACAACATTTGTTAATACTTTCAGCAGAAAAAGGTTGAAAGGTTGTTTGTCCCCCTCGACTGAAAGGTAGTATTTTCGCCACCGCTGCAGTAGACAACACTGACCACAATCCCAGCTCAACTAGCTCTCACGACGCATTTCATGGAACTGGGATATCCCTCTTTCAGCACCCCACTAAGAAAAACAATGACGAAAACAGTGGAGTTCAGCTGCCTATTGACGCAATTCAAGACAACATACGTGCACAAAAGAAGGCATTAATGCTACTTTTTTAAAATTAATTTCAAAAACTTATGAGGCGCAAATATCTACATAAATATATTCAAATGCGCCATAGGGGAAAAAACAAACAAACAAAGAATAATACTAATAATAATTAAAAGTATGAATAATTATGATAATAAAAATGATAAAATAAGATGATAATATAGCTATAGAATAGAAAACCTAATGGCTAGAGGTTAAAAAGATAAAATCTGTTAGTAAAATCTTAAAAATTATAAGCTGAAATTATTTACAATCTAGTAAGCTAAAAATACAATGTTATAATATAAATGGTACAAAATGCTTTTTTAAAAAGGTGAGTCTTCAAATTTCTCTTAAAAGTGTCAACTGAAATGGATTCCCTAATAAATCTTGGCACAGCATTCCATAACTCAGGTGCAGCAAACAGAAAGACCCTTTCACTGAGAGTTGCCTTAGGCTTAACATTCGGATAACTAAGTAGGGCACCGTCGCTAGAGCTTCTTAAATTATATTTAGATCCAGGCTTAGGAGTAATTAAAAAACTTAAGTACGAAGGTGCTAAGCCCTTAAAATTTTAAAAACAATCAACAGGATTTTCAATTCAATTCTGACCTTTACAGGCAGCCAATGTAAATCTACTAATAAAGGAGTAATGTGACAATATTTACTTTCATTGAATATTAGTCTAGCACACATGTTCTGCACACGCTGTAGCTTATTGAGTTGATACTCCGGCAGGCCATATAAAAGACTGTTACAGTAATCAACTCTGCTTGAAATAAAGGCATGAATCAGAGTCTTGGTGTTGTCTTTAAATAGATATTTTCTTATGCTTCTCAGATTATACAAATAATAGAAGGCAGAGTTTCATGTTTTTGAAATATGGGCTGCCATCGTCAGCTTGGAATCAAACCACGAGCCCAAGTTCCTTGCAGACAACACAAGAGTAATAGTTGCAGTCCCTACACGAAGGCTGTTAATAGATACTTTAGCTGTTGCTGCGATGTGCCAATGATCATTAATTCAGTTTTATCGTCGTATTTTTCGAGCATGAGAATAAGGCATACCCTCCAGCATCATCACAAAATGGCAAGCTGAGAACCGGTGCGGTAAGTCTGACTTTGTTATTTGTCTGGAAGAACTGGTTAATTCCCGCGAGAATGCCTCTCATCCAAGCGTGGAAGTTATCATCCTCGATGGCTCTTTCATTGGAAACATGCTTCGACCAGGTTCAGCAAAAAAATTCTCCCATTATGCTTCGCAAGTTTTTCTTCCATACGTAGCGTCCCAGCTGCAGCAAGCAAGTAGAAATGACATCGTTTGGGATGGGTACCGCCCTGACAGTTTGAAAGCTGAAACGAGAGTTAAGAGAGGAAAGGGAGTTCGAAGACGCGTAGAGGCTTCAACACCAATTCCAGGAAACTGGCAAGAGTTTTTGCGCACCGATGAAAACAAAGTAGAACTGTTTAGTTTTCTAGCAAATAGACTGCCATGCATCGAAACCGAAAAGCAAGTTCTCTGCACTATTCAGTCTGATTTTGTTTGCACTCAGTCAAAAAATGTTTCGAAGCTTACCCCAAGTACACAGGAAGAAGCAGATACCAGGATCATCTTGCACTTGGAGGACACTGTCACTGAAGGATTTAACAAAATATCCATTCGTACCGTTGACACCGATGTAGTGGTTTTGGCAGTGGCAGCAGCACAGCGCAACGGCAACACTGAAATCTGGATCGCTTGTGGTACAGGAAAGAGTTTCCGCTTTTTGGCCGCTCATGAGATGGCTAGAGCACTGGGACCAAACCGATGTACTGCCTTGCCGATGTTCCACGCCTTAACTAGGAGTAATACTGTCTCATTTTTTGGAGGAAGAGCTAAACGAACTACCTGGGACACGTGGAGATCCTACAAAGATATCACATCGATATTCGTCTCTTTGGCAAACACCCCAGAGTCGGTGGAGAGTTCAGTTACATCACTGGAGAGATTTGTGATTTCGCTGTACGATCGCACCAGCAGCCTAGAAGACATCAATCAGGCCAGGAAACACCTCTTTGCGCAAACAGGCAGGTGGATCGAAAATATTCCACCAACGAAAGCAGCCCTTGTATGGTTATTGCTGGGCACAAGCGACAACTCCAAGCCCTGATCTTCCATGCCCTAGTGAATGGGGCTGGAAGAGAAAGGAGCCATGCAGCTAGGAAGCCAACTGGACCTCACTGCCAGAAGCAACGGTGGCCTGTAGAGAACGTTTGAGGTGTGGTTGCAAGAAAGGTTGCAAAAAGAATTGCAAATGCTCAGAGGCTGTTCTGCAGTACAGAGCTCTATGTCAAAGTGGTGGACAATGCACTGAGAAGGATTTTTCATGGTAAAACAGCGTTGAATTCTATGCTTTCTATGCTTTCTATTACATGTAACTTTTATTCATGGTAGTAAGGATTTCTTAGAAAGAAAGTCATTTTTTTTCCATTTCTAAAGTGGTGTTTTTAAAACAGCAGGAAACCAGTTTTTCTATACGAATTTGTCGCTCTGCAATCGAACATTTGCAGTTCTTGTAGTTTTTTCTACACCATCATTTTTCACTTTTGTCATGTGTATCATTGGTATAAGAGAACCAAATTCTGTATTATTCTTACTTTTACTCCATGCTTACACCTCATTTAGTGCTTACATGACGTTTTTTAATAGGGTTGTTGCCATGACAACAGTAAACGGCTGCGATGTGAGTATTGTGATGAGGACACAATAAATACGATGTAAAAAGCATGCTGACCTTAAAGTGTAATTTATTTCGTTAACTGTTATAGATTTCTTAATGGTAAATGTAAAAAGGCCAAGCCCTTTTTAAAAAACGCCGCCATGTTGGTCACGTGACAAATATGCGATGGCCCTATATCTAATTTTTTTAAAAAAGATATGAGCTGCAAGTGTGCCAAGTGTCATTCTTTGATCATGAAAGGCACAATTTTTACTCCCAACTGCTGGACTACTAAAACCAAACCTCTCGAGGCGTGGCGTCTACGGCGCCTCACTTCGTTCGGAATAAATTTGCAAGAAATTGCGAACATTTTAACTGGTATGCGCCATGTAGGTACTTACTGTATTCCGAGGTTCTGGGCTCATGTTATCTACCCGCCCAAAGGCGACAAATGGAGGTGAAAACACCACTTATTTATCCTTAAAAACAAAATCCGCTCTATCAGAATTGTTGCTTTGGCCGATCAGGAGGGGGGAAAGATGCAAAACGAGATGAATTTCAATGAACGTGTCTCCGAGGAGATATTGCACATTAAATAAAGGAAATTTCGTGTATTTTGCCATAAGGTTTGTTATGCTGTGTTATCAGGGCGAAGAAATCATTACAGACGCTAGAATTGGACAAATACCACTCGACTGACAACCTTGCGAAAGGAAGCTTGTGGCTGGGATTTTGACACACATATTTGAATAAAATTATACAGATTAAAAACAACGACAGTTACCTTTAACAGCCAACTTCAAGTCATCATATTGGTTTGAATCCCCAAAGGCTGTCCTTAGCATGCAGAGGTACAATTCTATATCCTTCATCTTAATGTTAGTAAGAGTAAAGACCACTCGACCAGGCTGTGACCTTCCACTCCATATTCCATTCATACGCCCATTATATCCTTGATTTATAACCGTTTGGGTGTCGTCTTTATAGCCACAGACAAAATAAGCCCATTAGATTCAAAGCAAGAGAGGATAAAGGGGAAAGAGAATGCATCCCCCATACACACCCTATTCCATAGGTAATTCGTCTCGAGTTATTTTTAAGACCGCAGATCCCAAGGGGATTAGACAACAGCCTGCTTTAATAAAATGAGAAATTTCGCTGGTCTATTTAAACCGGTCGTTTGTACAATAAAGCAAGTAGGACGACAAGTGTTATTTTTGCTGAATAATGAAAGACTAATAAAAGAATAAATATCAAACCAGAAATTGCTCTCTTCAAACTGTAAATTACCAATTATCCTGAGAGAATATTCGGTGAGTTAAGGATTTCCCTGCTGTACAGTTAGCTCTATAAAAGAGAGGAAGGGAGATTCTTTTTTAATTTCCGTTTCGCTGACACAGCTTTAGCAGAAATCTCCCTGTAGTCGTTTTCGTCGACAAAACGAATAGCAATATTGCTCTCCGCGTCTTCGGCCATTTTGTTCTGCGTCAGTTCGTGAAGGACGTGTGGGCTCTGTGCGTGGGTCACTGAGGTTACGACAACTTCAAGTTAAACTGATTTCACGGGTTGTCAAAGAGTCTAGCGATTCCCTTTTCCCAGGTGAGCGTCGACTCATTTCGCGTCAATGTTCAGGAATGCTCTCGATCTCTTTACGCTTTCATTGCCTTTCGCCCGACATGTTTTGCACGGCGTTTAGTCATGCCAAACCTCCACGAAACATCCATGCAGCGCGCGAGGTAACTTTATCCCGATTCTAAAAATAACTCGAGACGAATTACCTATGGAATAGGGTGTGTATGGGGGATGCATTCTCTGTCTCCTTTATCCTATCTTGATTCAAAGTCATTTGTGCTACCAGCTTTCCTTATCCCCCAATCAATTGTGATCGGATCACCGGTGAATGTCTGATGGGATGAGGAAGTTAACCAGGAATTTCGACGTCAGGTTGAGGAAGTTTCAAAAGGTTTTCCTGGTGGAAACCATTTTAGAGTCATCCGATGGTTGGGCGTAACACCGCCGCTACAAGAATACACAAGAGTGTTGCTTCATGTCTTCACCTATGCATGGTCCAGAGCGTATCCTTCTGCAGCCTACCTTCGTGTAGCTGACGTTGAGGAAAAGGTGACAGTAAATCTCATTGCTTCAATGTACCGACTTGCACCGCCAAGCGGGAGAACCATAACTCGTCTTGAACTGCTTGGTTCGTTACTTGAAGCTCGGCTTCTGAAGTCCCTGAGAGAAGAGTACAAGGGTTTCCTCAAAACTGATGCAGAATTCCTGTGGAGGGATTCCAGTGTTGCTCTAGCTTGGATCAATCAGAGACCAAAGAGAGGGTGGAGTGTTTGTTGCCAACCGAGTGGAGGAGATTACTGCTGCAGGTGGAGTGTGGTCTTGGGTCACCACCGATGAAAACCCTGCTGACTTCCTTGTCAGTCCGTAGGATTTGGTGGAATGGCCCGTACTGGCTGAAGCAGAGTGGACGAAACATCCAAAGAATGAGGCAAATATTACAATGGGAATGATGGTCGTAACTGATAGCCAAAAGCCGGACAATTTAGAGGACATTGTTGAACCTCACCGAACGAGCAAATACCTTCGCACTTTGAGGAGTGTAGGGTGAATATTACAAGGAAAGCTTTGTTAACGTCAAAGCGATTGAAGTTGTTTAAGAATGTTGCTGGGGCCAAGACGTACTTCAGATAATTCGCGTTTAACGCTGTAATTGAGTCGGGGTAGACGTACAGCAACGCTGTTAGAGTCAGGTGGGGCAAAAACTGAGTGAAAAAAACACGTTGAATAAATTAGCTTGATCAATAGGTCTGGTAGCCTGTACCGATTCATGTTAAATTAACCCTGGAATTCTAGTCGTTTTGGTAATCGCTTTGTAATACGACCACAATTTGCGAGAATTGTCCCTTAAGGAACTACTAAGCTTGGTGAAGTGACTACGCTTTTTAAATTTAACCATTTTCTTAACCTGTCGTCTAAGCTCACGAAATCGTTCCCACAAATTTACAGAATCTTTTAACTTGGCTTTACGTCGAGTTCTGTTCTTCTTTTTAATTAACAATAACACCTCTTTATCAATCCATGGCGGTCTGTTGGCATCCTTGATTACCACTTTTGGAACGGCAGGCAGTACTGGCGTCAATGTCGTTGTCCACAAACACATTGTCCCAAGAGAGATTACTCAGAGTGGACTTCAAACCAGATAAATCAGCCTTCTTGAGATTGTAAACTGTCTGGCCTGATTTCTTCAAGCGCTTGAGTTTTGTTAACATCGAGAAACTGGCCGCGAGATGCTCAGAGCTGAAATCCTTAACGGCGCTAACATCAAATCTTAAAGAAGAAGAAAGAGAACGGAAAGTCTCATAAGAATTCCTCTCAACAGAGGAAGAAGTGGTTGTCTTCTATGAACGACCTTGGGAAGAAAGAGAACTTACATCAAGAGCTGGGATTCCAAGGGGTAGTTTGGACTACTCAGCCAAATCCTTTCAAAGAGGGAGAAGCTGCGCTGGTGGCTGACGACAGAGAGAAACGTTTAAATTGGAAGATGGGCGTTGTTCGACAACTCATTATTGGTCGTGATGGAAGATGCCAAGCGGCAGTTGTTCAAGTGAAATCTAGATTATTGACACGATCAATTTGCAAGTTGTACAAATTGGAAATCTATGCTGAAGCAGACAATCTCCCACCGATTACAAGTCTCCCTAAGAATTCTAATGAAGAATATGATAATGAAATGCAGAACTGTGCGGTCGAGTTGATAAACTAAGAAGAAGAAGATGCAGCTAAATGTGAAGTTTCGCCTCCGAGGAGAACTGGAAGTGGTAAAGAAATTTTTCGTTCAACGCCACTTTAGGGACAGGCTGAAAATGTAGTTGCAACATGCTATTGCAAGTTGCAAGGTGGAGAATGGTGAAAGCAGAGAGATTTACGATTTAAGAACATTTAAGATTTGCAAACTTTTCAAGTTTAGGAAAACATGCAGAAAGCTACGTGACAGTTAACTTGCCTTAGAATAGCCATGTTTAATTAGCTAGTTACTAAGTGATGTAATGTTCTTGAACAAGAAGCGTAGAGGATCCTGGGATTGTAAAACACGTGCAAGAGAACAGAGATGTAATTGGTAAATTTTTCCTGTTTGTGCGAATAAACCGAGGAAAAGGACCTGGAATTTCATGTTGTGTGAACTAATTGGAGTCTGATAGCAATTGGAAGTATTGTGTTGATGTCATAGCGATTACAGAAGCGAACACGGAGCATTTTTAAGGTAAGTGGTTTTTCGAAGCATTGCCGCAAGGCGTAGTTTTTTGTGGTCTACTATATTTCGACTTTCGAGGACGCCTTTCTTGCTTTCCTTTCGCCTCATTCATTTCGTCAACTTTTGATGGCGCTGGTAAAACTCCGCTTCGAAGCATTTCCTGCTGCTTTTTAACCGACTGGTGTTGCCTCGCACTGTTTACGGCTGATTGGAGCGTGAGATCGGATTCATTGGAGTTTTTCGCTAAACTTTACGTTTTGCAATCCCATCACGATACGATCTCGAATTAATTCGTCTCAAAGGGCTCTAAATTCACAGTGCTCAGACAAACAGTATAGGTCTGTGATGAACGCGTCGACTGGCACGCCGGGTTCTTGTTTCCTCAAGTTGAACTTTGCACGTTCGAAGATTACGTTTCTTTTGATAATGAAATGTTGGTCAAGTTTATCTTTTACTTTTTCATACTTCCTCTGTTCTCCCTTAGCGAAAGTAAAGCTCTTGAAAATATCGTCGGCCTCGTCGCCCATGCAGTAGATCATTGTATTTATCTGCAGGATTTCAGCTTTTTGTTGAGTTCAGTTGATATGCGATACCGCTCGAATCGTCGTATCCATTTAGGCCAGTCCTCTTTGAAGAGAGTAGGTGGTGCAATCGAGTTTGACGCCATTCTCGTTTTTTTTTTCTTTTTTTGGCAAGCGTTATCTTTGTGCTCGAATCCCACTTCGGACACCATGTAACATTAAGTAAACACGCAAACCATGTTGAAGATCAAGACTCATCTATATTTCACAATCTATCATTACCCTATCGGGTTACAAGTCACAAAACTAGTTGACGATTAACATGACAACGTCACAATTTAGCGCACCCTGGGAATATTTAGATATTTTCACTCCATTTGCTAAATCCAAGCATTTTACTATTCAGTGTAGCGTCTTTACTTTGAACTGGTGCAAAAAAGTACGTGGTTGAATCATCGCCATGCTTTAACTTGGTCTTGATTAGTGGCAGAATAAACATTTCCACACAGTGAAGGTATTATTAGCTGTATTATGTGATACTACTACTCGACGGCAATTGCTAGAAGTTCAGATTAAGGTAGCAAGTATAAACTTATCGCACAAGAAAATAAAACGATAACTATCTAAATGCTCTTCCCTGCACACTCGAGTACCTGAAGCAGCAGCAGCAGTGATGCAACCGAAAGAAGCATCTCGTGATGGTCTGTGACGTACTAGCGTCTTTCGAAGACTTTGAGGAACTGGTGTGTTTACTTGGCAGGAATCACAAAACGTAAATTGTCTCACTGAAGAGGATGGGTAGTAACATTTATCTCGCTGCAAAAGTCGTCTGGTCCAAACCACGTAACAAAATCAAGCGGAAGTAAAAAAAAAAATGCTACGTCACGCCATCTTCAGCGTGTTTTTTAATTACAGCTCTTGAATTGATCCGAAGATTAGACGGATGCCCTTCAAAAATGAGCGAAAAAATACCTTGGAATCCGGTTGAGATGCTTAATCACTCCAACGACTCAGATGAATGTCTATATGTTCCATTAATCTTTGTTGCGGTTCAAACACGGTGATTTGGGTATCCTCGTGATGCAGTTTTGGGTACTCCTTCTCATGTGGAGTTAGTGTTTTTGGTATCCCCGTACCCAAATCACTGGTGATTTTAACAGTAACAGGAACAATAAATCTTTTTTGTGTCTTTTACAATAAATTAAAGTGATAAAACTATACAACTAACTTTTGATACATGCTAAATAAAAATAGTCGGTTAAATTATACTTTCAGTAATTCCTTTCTCTCTTTTAACACAAGATTAATAAATTTGCCTTTAATCATCGCCAGAAATTGCGAACATTTTAACCGGGATGCGCTATGTAGTTCACATGGAGATTCCCGGTGATTGGTATATACCTCTTCCTGTATTCCGAGTTTCTGGGCTTATCTACTCGCCCAAGGGCGACAAATGGAGGTGTAAACACCACTTATTTGCCCTTAAACAAAAGCCTCTCTATCCGAATTGTTGCTTTGGCCGATCAGTGAAGAGGAAAGAAGAGCTGCAAAACGAGATGAATTTCACTACATTTGAACGAGTGTCCGAGGAGATATTGCAGATTGAAGAAGAGGAATCTCGGGCATTTTTCCCGTGATGAATTTCGTTGTGCTGACCGATTTAAAAGCTATTATCAGGGCGAAGAAATCAGCTCATTTCTGATTTTTTTTTTTTTCACAGAGGCTAACAACTGGACAAATACCACTCGACTGACAACCTTTTTTTATCGAGTATTAACTCACGCATTGAATGAAATTATACAGATTGAAAACAACTATAGTTACCTTCCACAACCAAATTCAAGTAATCAAATTGGTCTGACTCCCCAAAACCTCCCCTTAGCACGCAGAGGTACGATTCCATATCTTTCATCTCAATGGTACTAAGAGTAAAGACCACTTGTGCAGACTGTGAGTTTCCACTCCGTATTCCATTTACACGCCCATTATATCCTTGATTTTCAACCCTTTGAGTACCGTCTTTAGCCACAGACAAAATAAGCCCATTAGATTCAAAGGCATTTACGCCAGCTTTCTTTATCCCCCACTTAATTGTGACCGGATCACCGATGAATGTCCATGAAAAGTTCATAGATGAACCTACTGTACCCATTATGCTCTTTCCTTGATATGGTTGCGTGAATTGTAAAACAGCTAAAACAGAGATAAGGCAATGTTCAATAATAAACAAAAAACAAGCAAAGACAACAGGATAAATCCATAAGCTTCTTGCAATAAGTTTACACTTAACAAGCAGGAGCTTCAAGGGGGAGGTTGATGGTACCGCCTTCCCCAGAGTTTTTGATATTTTGCAATATTTCGAAACGATTTTGCCTCCAGTGGATGCGGTATACCCTGCTGGAGACCTTTGACGTTATCAACAATGGTCGCCACCCATGCCGCAATCTTGGATTTTACCAAGAATTAGGAATCAGGTTAAAAGCGCCATTTAAGGGAGGTTTTAGTGTTTGACACGTAAAATATCACATAAATAATCACTTTGAATCATTTTATCCACTAGCTTTACTTTCATTGTTAAAATAAAGCTTTTGGGGGGGGAGGGTGGCAGCAAGTTGATGATTTGATGATCTTAAAAATAACAGAGAAAATTCTCCAAGAAAATGCTTTTGAACAAAAGAAAATTAAAGAAACGACTCCCTAGGTGTGCAGCTTTTTTTTAACAGTTTTTATTGAATTAGAGACAACTTTTACAATGTTATTTAAGAATTAACATTACTTAAATAAATTAAATTACACAATTCCACTTCAATAGATACTAACCTAAAAGAAAAAAGAAAAAGGATAACAACAACGAAAATATATATATATATATATATTTAACAATTATTCCACGAGGGCGCGTTGGATATGAGATGATAGATAGCCAACGAGGCGCGTAGCGCCGAGTTGGCTATAATCATCTCATATCCAACAAGCACGAGTGGAATAATTGTTTTATTAAAAACGCCCACAAAAACTCGTTGAATCTCCCCTACTAAAACAAACCGGAAAAGACAAGGGACTTCCGCTATTCACGTGTCACACGTCTATCAAAACTGTCAACGCGCGAACGGACTCGCCTGGACTGCATGAATGAAAAATCAAAACATTGCAGCAATGAACATTAATTTTTTAAAAACTCATTGGGATTCTAGGATTTTACACAGCAGGACAGCTAAAAAAACCTGGCAGATAATGAAAGGAAAAGAATTTTTAAGTGACAGCCGTCGAAATTACTGTGAATTTGGATTTTCGGTGCAGTTACAAAGGTAAGAACAACGGAGAAAAACTATTACCTCGGTCGCTTGTTATGAAGTTGTTTGAAGCCACAAGCTGGTTTTGCTGAACGAGAAAAGAAGCTATACTGCCGACTCGTTTGCTCTAGTGAATGGCTGCATAGCCTGTATTTGTAGCTGGTTACTTGTGATTTACATTCTTGATGTCGGATAAACAAGCCGCAGTTATCTATCGGCGAGTCACTCGATCGGCGAATGGCTTCCCGATCATGAAGAAACAACACCTGTCCTCTTTTCGTAGCTAGTCAAGGTGCTTTAGTTCCATGTATTTTCATGTGTTTTTCGACAAACTTTCAAACAAGCTCTTGTGGCTTTTCTGTTTGTTTTTGTCTTTTTTCTTTCGATGAAATTGCATTTCTAGTATTCTAAGAAATGAAAAAAACGATTTGCTTCGGGCGCCGTTCTATCCTTCGCGAAAAAAAATCTCAGCTACCTTCCAATTTTAAACTGACGCGTACATCGACCATATATGGAGAGCATGGTATAATAGCTCATATACCATAACGGCTAAGCCAATCAAAATGCTAGAATTGCATTATCCAATGATTCAGTTTTTAATAAATATGTATATACATCTGTCTGGATTTGTTAAAACGTGGCTAAAGAAATTTCAAGTGCATTTTAACTATTTGACATCTAAGTGGAATGAGAAGCAGTTAAAAGTCATTAGCTGAAGCTAAACAATGACAGCATTATTGCAACAATGGACGGTAAAGTTCTCTCGCAGGAATAACAGGATTTTGCGATGAAATAAACAACATTTGAAACGTCCAGAAATCGTGATCTTTTAGTCAGTCAAACCGTGAGACCCAAAGCTCAGTGTCGGCCGAAAACAGATTACAAATCCACAATCTTTGAGCACAGAATAGGCTTTCTAAGAGAAAATCACCTAAACTAAACACTCACGAAGCGTTTTTATGCTTGGCACAAAGTATTCTGGTAACACGAGCTCAACTGCACATACCTGAGATTTGTCTGTAAACACTTTCGGTAAATCTCACAATAAATGAGTTTCGCGCCAATCACAACACTTCCGAAAACCACTCATAATACTTCCACACTCAACACGGGCGAAACTCCAACTCTCGCTTTCTCCACATAAATCGTCATATGGAACTTTTCTCGACTCACTGACAGTCGATTTATTCAAGATCCCGGATGTAAACCAGCGGTTGAAAAGGAGACATACAGCCCCCGCCTTCCACACATTTTTTTCCTAAGTCTTTGGCCTGGTCAGAAATCAGCATGAATTTCCATCTTGCCTAATAGATTTCAACCCTAGAACCTACTTTGTGAGGCCAAAGACTTGTTACTGCCAACAACAAAGCTCGCAATATCCAATCTTTCCGTCTCAAGCCCGGGATCAGTCTTTCATCCGTGTAGCCCGAAATGAGACGAAATACCAGAAGATATTGGACGCAGCAGACTTTGTCAGACGTGAGAATTGTTCCTTCATAAGGCCTGATGATGCCTTCCGGGTAAACATTGCTCAAGGCAGCCAAAAAAACTCTAAGACAACCCACTATGAGAGCCGAGTTCAGTCTAATACGCGCGTTGATTTCAAACTGACATACAGAGAGAATTATATGGGAAGTTATGAAAAACACTTTTTTTCCCATCAATGTCTATCTACGGTGGCCTATCCGGTACCGATTAAATAAATAAAAAGTAACTATGAAAAAAAAAAAACATGCCTCACTACAAGGCTCAGTCAGAGGGTATATAAGAGAGATTTCTGTAGCCATGTTTCTGCAAATCCAGACAGATATAATATATATGTATATATATATATATATATATATATATATATATATATATATATATATATATATATATATATATATATATATATATATATATATATATATATATATATGTAACGAACCTCGCACTGAATAAATTATGTAAATCAGTCTAGTATATAAGTAATGGTAAAGTTATTCTCATTAAAATCCCCTGATGAGTGGGCAACCACGAAACAGGCTTGTAGGGATACTTATGTAGTTACTTGTTTTCTTCCGTCAACCATACGTATACTCGCTCTACTTTATGTATTGAGCACTGTTTTACGGATTTCAAGTTCAAACCTCTTATATATATATATATATATATATATATATATATATAACTATAAGTAGATAAAATGAAGACTTCATCTGCTATAAGAGTGCTCAATGGTAACAACAGAGCTGTAAATAGATAAAAGATGAACTTCTGGAGTCGGACTAGTTCAAAAACATTTAATCGCTACTCGGAGTTTCATGCCTCTAAAGAAGCAATCATCAGGCGACTGACAACATTAGCGGTCACATGTAAAGATATACAAATTTGAAAAGACGTAAGAATTCTGATTGGACGGCTAAAATGCTTAACGAACAGGTAAATCTATATTAGGTTATCGCGGTATTTCAAAGAAATTTCTTAGAATGTCTACAGATCGATGACAGTTCATTTCTACGATTGAGTGTCGACATTTCCGGTTTGCAAATAATAAAGTATTTCTCCCACAGGCAGAGATTACATTTCTTGTTGACATTAGAGTAAGACCTAGCTTGCTTTACTTTTCTCCACTTAATTTGGTAATCAATTTTGCGTTGTTTTAGGTTCCATACGTATTTGCTAAGCTCTGTGCTATTCTCGTATCTTTCGTTCCTGAAAGAGCATTTATGGTTATTGAATCGTTCCTTAAACATCGTGTCACATAGGCCGATGTACGTTTCTTTTGACTGTGGAGTCGTGACCTCTGCTTGGTATACAATGTTCTGGATTTTGCAATTTCCCTCAAGCGGGCAAGAATCTTTTTTACGGCAATTGCACCCAGCGACTTCTTCTGATTGGGCTACTGGTTTGCTGATCTGGGCTTTGTTGTGGCTGGAGATGATAGTTTTCACGTTGCTCATGCAGCTGTAGCTCAACTTAAGGCTGTTCCGGTTAAATATCTTATGCAGTGGGTTTGATTTGGGGAAATGCAGATCAACTAATTTGAGGAAGCATTTTCCGATTTTCGTTTCAACATTTTGGCTGTAAGGTGGGTTGAACCAAGTAATGTTTCTATGCCGTTGGTTTTGTCGTGATGTTTTAGGGATTGGCACTTTGTATGAAAGATTATAATTGTGGCCACATTTATTAAGAGCATCTTGGTACGCATCTTTGGCTTTGTCAAAGCATTCCTTGTCAGATGAGATTTCACTTAGGCGCTTATTGATGGATTCGGGAATGTTCTTTATGATGGAAGGTGGGTGATTCGATTGCTTGTGTACGTAGATGGGTGTATTTCCTTCTTTCATGTATGGGGAGTGCTTTTCGCTTTTTAGGTCGAGTGTGACATCTAAAAAATTTACTTTGGTGAGGTTGGCTTCCACGGTGATTTTAAGATCATTGTCGCGGAAGATCTGGCAGATATCTTTCTTAACTCTTTCCATCTCACGTGGTGTTTTGTTGAATGCCGACAGCCCGTCGTCACGATAGAGACCGATGTTCCTTCCGAACTTTTCTGTAAGGCGTGACAGGATGTAGCAACCAACTAGTTCGCATGTTTCGGCCCCATCGAACGACCCCATGGTGACATCAAATGAAACTCCGAGTAGCGATTAAATGTTTTTGAACTAGTCCGACTCCAGAAGTTCATCTTTTATCTATATATATATATATATATATATATATATATATATATATATATATATATATATATATATATATATATATATATTACAACAACAACGGTAACAATAAAGATGCCTGCTAACTTTTACGAACCTCTGTGCATCAACTACTATTAAGTGCATTAGTTAGCTTCTCCCACTTTTGAAAATGAAAAAGAAGTTTATTTTTCTCCCTGGCGATATGGAGCTCAATATTGAAGACACGTCTTGCCCTAACAATAAAACCTCTAATTGAGGGTAAGCTATTATGACTTTTCCTACAGTAGATATAATATTTAGCTAATAACAAAATATGATTAATTAGAATATAGTCTTCGACAATATCAAATTTTCCTTATATCACATCAGACTCATTAATTGTCTCAACATGAACATCATTATCTCTTAGCCAGGACAGCACATGCTTCCAAAAGTCAGAAGATATCCTGCAGGAGAAGAGTAAATGATCAACGGATTCCGGTGCTTCTTGACAGAAAGTGCAGTTTGGCGATTCCACTACACCAATTAAATTAAGTTTCACGTTTGTAAAGATTATGAAATTTAAATTTTTGTAACGAACTTCCCTCGGCTGATCTTTGTGTCTAAAGTGCATTGAAAGGCCAAAGTGTAAACCTTTTTCCAATCAATATCTATATTTGAGTACTTGTTTGATAACTTCTGTTTTGCGGTGGGCCCAATTTGCTTTTGCTGCAGAAAGATTTGGTAGATCTGTTTAGGAGAGATATCAAGGATTGGCACTACATTACCGCTTGGCAACTTAATAATTAAAATAACAACTAGAGAACAATACGATACGAAAATAACACGAAAAACAATGACAAAAACTAACAATGGCCACAAAGAACTAACACAGTACATAAATATAAAAATAAAATAGCCAAAGTTGTTAGTGCCACCTCTGACTGGCACCTTGCAATCTTGATCTTAATTAATAGCAGTCTGGTTTTTGCTCCACAGTTCTTGGCAAAATAATAAAAATACAACTTTGAATAGTTAGAAAATATATGCGCATGCGGCCTAACGATTTTTCTAATGTTCTTACATTTCAACACCGTCAATAAACAATAGCCCCTATGCATGATTACGTCAGACGAGTAAATTTCACCAACAAGCCTCGTTTGTGAACAAAATTTTTTGCATTTGCACTTTTTGTGCGTGGGTATTCTTTTCAACTCTACTGCCTTGGGAATTCATTTCTGTGAAACTTCGCTTATTTTTAATTTCAAAACGAGGCTTGGTGGTGAAATTTGCTTGTGTGACGTAAACATGCATAAGGGTTATTTATCCGGCTCCGTTCTACTAAAAAAGCGGTCTTATTGTCCTTTTTCGCATGATTAAATTGCTTCATCTTCTTCTCTCTTCTTTCTAAAATTTCACTTGGAAGGTCCAGCGAAATTCCAAAGTTTTTTCCTTTTACCCTTCTAGCATTGGACATCTTCTCGTTGAGGATATTTCAAACAGCGTGCGATTATTTGTCTAGGTTTACCATCGAAAGAAACACGCTTTCCAACACGATGAACCCTTTGGAATTCGACTTGATCTGCATTTTCTATACCAAGCTCTGTTTAAAGGAATCCAATCAAAACCTCTCTCGCGTCCTCCTCCGTATCGGCTTCTTTTTTAATTCCGAAAAAACGAAGATTTTCCCGCCGCTGATATACTTCCATGTATAGTTTCTCGTCCCTGAGCGGATTAATTTCGCATTCAGCTTGTCAAATTTCTCCTTAAAAGACCGCATTCCGTGTTCGCAAAATCCAATCCGTCTTCCAGCTCTTTGATCTTTTTTTCTGTTTTGTTTTCCTCGATGTTCGTTTAACAGTTTCGGCCATACAACATTGCCAAGTGCGGAGCAAAACCACACACGTCTAAGGTGTGGAGCTGCTGGAGACCTGCGACGTTATCAACGATATGGTCCACCCATGCCGCAGTCTTGGATTTTACCAAGAATTAGGAATCAGGTCAAAAGCGCCATAAAAGGTGGTTTTTAGTGCTTGACATGTAAAAAAAAACTCATAAATAATAACTTTGAATCATTTTATCCACTAGCTTTACTTTCATTGTTGAAAGAAAGCTTTTTTTGGTCAACAAGTTGATGATTTAATGATTTTATAAATCACAGAGAAAATTCTCCAAGAAAATGCTTTTGAACAAAAGAAAATTAAAGAAACGACCCCCGATAACTCCAACCTTCCGGGAAAAAACGTACGATTTATCGGGAGATCATTTCTGAATGCTGTGCCCTTTTTTAACAAGTGATTTAAAGGGAAACAAAAATCTCTACGAATTAGAGGGAGGTATCGTGTTATCGAGGGTTCGAGCTACCCCGGGTGTATAATCTCAATGGAATAAGTGCCTGAAGTTAAAAGTTGCAAACACTTTTCAGGCGATAGTTCTGGGTTTTGCCTGATATTTCAATGTCACATTTTAGCCTGTTATCACTCTACAATGCCTTAGAGCACATGCAAAGAATATGAGGATGATTATACCTAGAAAAGTGCATTTTTGCCAAATCAGCTCCTCGACAAAGAACATGCATGTATGAGATAATCGTGAGAGACATTTTACTGATCTTTAACGAATTTAAAGATGCTCCTTTGTGATTTCTGTGCAATTTAGGTGACTCGACCCAGTTTTTTGGGGGGTTACCATCCTACTTTGAAGCTCTCTGGTATCCCCACCTTTACCTTTATCGTAAGTCTAACACATAAAATGGATAACATATAGATCAATCTACAATATAACATAAAATTTTTGGCGATTGGAGTAAATGTCACGTGGTTATAATGCCACGCCCCTTTGAGGTCTGAGTCGAAAATCTGCTGTTGCCGGCATTTTTTCGTGAAAATCTCTCGGCTGCACATAGTGCGCATTAGTGGGCCTTGCGCTGAACATAGTTTCACTAAAACCGCAAAGACCCTTTTATGCTTTTGCATAAAAAAATCAAGAAATGCTACACAATCTCTTCTCCGTGAACTTCCTCTCTCGCCCGAATAGCATTCAACACTCCGGCCATTTTCTTTTTAGAGTTTTTAATTCTCGGCATGACGTATACACTCAGCTGGCTGGAGACGTCACGTGACGGGAATCCCTTCTATTTTAATTTCTAGTACTAAATTATCATATCTCGGTGTGCATTCGGAAGTCAGCCTAGCGCTGTCATTGCACGCGTGCTGAACAAGAATGCTGTATCATGACAGACTAGAAACAATAGAAAACTCCCAAAGCACAAACTCAGCCAAAACGCTAAAAATCTTCAATGTTTACTCAAGTTTAAGCTTATAGAAGATAATGTCACAGTTTTTCAATGATCATGAAATTCAGAATCCGGGTAGTTAGTTAATCGATTGTGGCCCTGAAAATTTTGAACGAAAAAAAACTACGAATTTTTAAGAAAATGCTTTTTTCGTGAGAAGGACTCTTAAACGCTGACAAACGTCAACAAATAGCTAAAACTATAATTTCTATATGTTTGCATTGCTCGAAATCGCGCGCATTTACAAGGCCCTAAAGCTTTTTGCTGACTTGCAAGGACCCATCTGTTATAAAAATCCCAAAAGTAAAGGGATAAATCTCATAGTTTATTAGATATAATCGTGTAAAGTTTGCTTATCATTTTCGCATAAATTATGACCTAAATTTGGAAACCGCTGAATTTCTCGCATTGGGTCTGTGCGGTTTTGGTGAAACTCTGTTCAGCGCAAGGCCCACTAATGCACACTATGTGTAGCCGAGAGATTTTCACGAAAAAATGCCGGCAACAGCAGATTTTCGACTCAGACCTCAAAGGGGCGTGGCATTGTAACCACGTGACATTTACTCCGATCGCCAAAAAATATGGGTTACATTGTAGATTGGTCTATATATTATCCATTCTATGTGTTAGACTTATGATAAAAGTAAAGGTGGGGGATACCAGAGAGCTTCAAAGTAGGATGGTACCCCCCCAAAAAAACTGGGTCGAGTCACCTTAATATACCTGGATTTTTGAAAACCGGGTTAGCAAAAATATCAACTCCTTCTACTACTTGGCAGTTTAAAACAATAAAACTCATTCAAAGGCCGATTAAAAGCCTTTATCTGACACCGGGCAGTAAGTTAATGGTCCGTAGAAGCATTCCAACTACTCCAAATTTAAAATGAGGCAAAATTTAGACCATTTATATTCAGTAAACTGACGTCGCGAACTTTCAAACCGGTGTCATTTCATTCTAGAAATTTATAAGTTGAGTGAACTGCAGCGAAAGAGTGCCTGGTTAAGGCTTACATAACAACTTAAATAGCTAGCAAAACAGGACTTTTTTCGCGGTTCGATAAACAACAGGATTCTGCATGGAATAGACAACAAACTGAATGAAACGTAGTGCACAAATTATCACTTTGTTATCTGTAAAACTCGGCCTATGGTTCAATTCCATTAGAGCCCGCTGAAACTAGACCTAGATCCAATTTTCCTGAGTCGAGAGTCGCTTTTCCAAGTTACAATCAGCTAAGCTAAACACCGACGAAACAATATTAATGGCTGGCACAGAATATTTTCAACCACGCCATCACATACCTATCAACACCATGCGGAAATAACACAATCAAACACTTTCGCGGCACTGATAAGACTATCCACAACCACGCATAACCTTCTCACGTTTAACATAAGCGAAGTATTATCGAAGAACTCGGAAAAACTCAACCTATTGGCAAATAAATACCTCTGGACTTTTCTCTTACACTCGTCTTATTCAAGTTCCCGGATGTAGAGTCACACGGTTGGCGGATCTCCTTGGCCTTGTTTTCACACCAGAAAAAAAATTAAGTCTTGGCCCGGGTCAAAGTTGTCCTGCAATTTTGCTCTCACCCAATTCATTTGACTCCTAAGAGCCTGTTCCCGAGGCCAAAGACTTAGTGGTCACCTTAGAAAAGCGAACAATATCGTATCGGCCCGGATCAGGGTGATTTATCCGTTTAACCAAATGAAACGAGAATATAATACGATATTAGGTGGTGCAGACTCTGCGAATCGTAATAACTTTGTCCCATCTCAGAGCTTTACAGGATGCTTTCCGGGAAACTTTTCTCAAGGTGACCAATATATAAAACTAAACTGCTAAACGGCACCGAAACCAGCTTTAGGCGCGTACGGATTTCAAATAACTGTCACTTGTGTTAAACAAAGAATTGTGGATAGCAAAAAAATAGGAAGGGGGGAAAGATAGTAATTCTGTCTACATCCACTTCTGCACAAATCCCTAACCACAAAACAAGCAAAAAAAAAAACATAAGCAAACCACACAGTAAACAAGCTATTAAACATGGGAAGTTGAGAAAAATTACAAGATGTTTGCTAACCCGGTTTTCATAACTCCAGGTATATTACATCGAATGAAGGAAATTCAGGAGAATTCAATTTTGGTTTGAGTTCGAGTTCATCAGTAGTCAACTGAGGGACCGTTCATTTTCTACCAGGTACGGGGGGATAGTGGGATCAGTGGGGGGGATTGAAAAAATATGGCTTAAAAGGGGAAATCAAAAGAAAAGATATTGTGTTTAAAGGGGGAGTCACCTAAAAATCCTTAGAATTTTGCAGCGACGACATTTGTAATTATACAAACAGCCCACCAGAATGCCAAAAATTAGCGTTCCTGACATTCAGAAATTTCAGATTTTCCCAAGGAAGCATGCCTCCGGACTCCCCTAGCGGAATTAGGAGAAAGTGACAAACTCACTGATTTTTCATTTTTTTTTTGTTTGTTCCCTCTCTCTTTTTTTTTTTTCCTTTTTTCTTTTCTTGGGGGGTCATCTCCATTAATTTGGGTCACAAGGGGGGGGAGAAAATGAAAAAAATTCTTATGAGGAGGGGGTGATCATATACTACACGATCTAGGAGCTACCCGTCGAATCCCACCAGCCCCCTCTCCACCATAAAAAAAATGAACGGTAACCTGATATGTACCTTTAATGCTGACACTTTTTGTGATATAAGTTGTCCGGACGATTTTTGCTTAGGACTACAACTATAAATAACATGTTGTTAAGCCAGGGTTCATTCAGTTTACGCTTGAACATGAAACAACTGTTCTATTTGCGTTGGTGCATCTCCTTTTGTTCATAGCAAAAAATGGAAGAAAAATTACCAGAGTGGAAACACCTTTAGTTTAAATGAAAACCTTAATTATTCAGAAGCCACATCCAACATGGGAAACATGTCATGCGACAAAGTACCCGTGGAAAAGGGCGTGTATAACGATGCCTTCTCTTTGACTCTTTTTCCATCGTTATGTTGAAATTTAACACACTTTAGAAAGTCGTTTTTCACATGTGGCGAGAACAAATGATCCTATTTATAATCAACATCGTGGTTCCTCTATAAGGTACAATACTAAACTGCAAAGAACTCACACTCCATTAATTCGCTCTTTTAAAAGAAGCCCAGCACTTGAAACATCAATACGATACATATTTTGTCACTGGATCCAGTAGGTCATCAGTCTGCCATAATACGCTACTCGAAAGCCGTGCAACGCTGTGATTACATTAATTCATCAACTGAATTGAATTTTTGTTTCACAAAATTTCGTTGAGATTCATGTTATTCAAATAAACTTTCGTTACATCTTCTTTGGATAGTATCAAACATAAAACCTAATTAACACTTTTTAATCGTCACGTCGCAATTTAGCGCACTCTTAGATCATTTAGATAATTTCATTCCATTTGCTAAATCCAAGTATTTTACTATTCAGTGTAGCGTCTTTATTTCGAACTGGTGCAAAAACGCGCGTGGTTGAATGATCGCCATGCTTCAACTTGCTCGGCATACATGGTACAATCAACATTTGGCAACATTTCCTCCTACATCTTACAGCGGAAGTAGTACTGAAGTGATTGTTTACTAAATGAATCAAGGAGGATTTCAATGTAGCATATTGATTACCAGGTGTATTATGAAATACAATTACTCGTCGGCAATTGCTAGAGAAGTCAAGATTAAGGTAGCAAGTAAAAACCTATCTCTCTAGAAAATAAAACGATAAGTATCTAAATGCTCTTACCTGCACACGCGAGTAGCTGAAGCAGCAACAACAGTGATTCAACCGAAAGAAGCATCTCGTGATGGTTTGTGACGTATATGCGTCTTTCAAAGACTTTGAAGAACTGGTGTGTTTACTCAGCAGGAATCACAAAACATAAATTCCCGTACTGAAGAGGATGGGCAGTAAAATTAACCTCCCAGCAAAAGTGCGCCGGTACAAACCGCGTGACAAAATCAAGCGAACGTAAAAGAATGTTACTTCACGCCTTTATTAGCGAACTCGGTAAGTACGTGGTGTACGCATCATATAATGGTTTGACATGTTAATATATAGTATGACTATTTCTAGCACTATACTACATAGCCCAAATTGCTTTACATAGCCAAACATAACCCTACATAACCCTACATAGCCGTACATATCCATACATAGCCCTACATAGCCATACATAGCCCTACATAACCCTAGATGATCCTACATAGCCTCACATAGCCATACATAGCCATATATAGCGTTACATAGCCATACATAACCCTACATCAGTCCGGGAGATATCCATTTCTCGATATATAATGGTGTCACTGATAATTGCATCATGGACCTTCAAAGAAAAATCAGTATTCACAACGCTTTTGCTCCGCTGTTATTTTGGTGGCTTTTATTTATCCCATGAGACCACGCGTTATTTGTAAAGGAACATCAGACGAACATGTGAAACGAAGAAAGATGGCGTGCGTCTCGGCAACGCAGAGAAAGATGTGCCTAAAGTGAATTTAACGGCTGTGTTCTTGATGCATTCTTAGTGGAGTCGTCTTTGAATTCTTGCAAATTTCAGGTATTTAATAATTTTTTCTGGTTTTGAAAAAATTACTCCGAGAAACTAGAGTAGATTTGCTTGTTGTTTACTCAAACAAAATCCATATGCACGATGTTTTAGTTCATATCCACGGCCTTTGAAAATCTGTGAAGTATGTAATTTCGACGCCACTACTGGTTCACTAAGTGAGCGTTTCTTGGATCGTATTCTAAACTGATCCTTGGTTTCGTTTAATTTGGAATTGCTCTTGTTGCAAGGCGTTGCAGATTTTCATTAGTTCTTAAATCCAAATTCCGTAGATTACACTGTGGAGGATTCCAAACTTTAACTGAGCGAATCAGTCTTATCTTTGCTGCCGTATGTGTCACATTTAGAGGTCATTTCCTAGGGTGTTTCTAAAACGAAGACCCAAAAACGAAGACCAAAGACCTAAGACCCCGTGGACTAAAACGAGGACCGTTGGACTAAAACGAAGACCCTCTGGACTAAAACTAAGACCCATGTGGATTTTAAACTCTTGCGAAAGACAACGCCCGTTTGGGTCATTTGTTACGGCGATTTGGGAATGTTGTGGAATTTTCTCTGCGCTATTTAATTGTGATAGTGAATTCTATCACAAGTTTACATTTTGTTCAAAAGTTGTTTCCATGTGTCTCTTTACAGGTTTCTTTGAACATATTTCGAGTGTTAAATCACTGACCCCCTGGACTAAAACGAAGACCCCATGGACTAAACCGAAGACCCCATGTACTAAAACGAAGACCCTCTGGACTAAAACGAAGGCCCCTGTGGATTAGACTCTTACGGCGATTTAGGAGTGTTGTTGAATTTCCTCTGGGCTTTTTAATTGTGGTAATAAAGTCTATCACTTACCTTTTCTTCGATCGACCGCGTGTTCTAGCGTTCTAAAATTTCGAACAATTATATCGATCAATACATTTACAAAACAAAATAACCGGCGTAAGGAGGAAATAACAACGAGACATTTAACATTGATGAATTCAAGGAGAGGGGAAACTCGCGCTCTTTTTATTATTTTTACGTCATCCATAAAAAAAGGTGTCGATCCAGAACATCACTCGAGTGAAGGTGTACATTTCGGGTTTCATGTAAGCAAGGTTCAATTGTGTATATGCAGGGTTCAAGAGAGAATGATCTACTTTATTCTGACCTCTATTGTACAAAAATAACTCATCTTTTACGGCTCAAGCAGTTGTTATAATGATAACTGTAGTAAAAAAGAAAAAAAAAGGAAAAGGAAAAAAGTACATCGGTTCTGCAAGATTCGATCCCGGGACAGTTACGTCGTATTTAAAGACGTTAGTCCAAGTCAACGAAGACTTTCTCGAAATGACCAAATGAAAATTTTTTTTTATACAAAACTGAAGTCATCATCGCCGTAAACACATCCAAAGTGATTTAACACTCGAAATATGTTCAAAGAAACCTGTAAAGAGACACATGGAAACACCCTTTGAAGAACAGGTAAGTGATAGACTTCACCATCACAATTAAAAAGCCCAGAGGAAATTCCTCAACACTCCTAAATCGCCGGAAGAGTTTAATCCACAGGGGTCTTCGTTTTAGTCAACGGGGTCTTAGGTCCTAGGTCGTCGTTTTAGAAACACCCATAACATATTCTAGGCAATATCAACTTGAAAATGATGATCTTGAATTAACTGCATTAGAAATTGAGAAACCAAATTCATGTCCATTTCTTATTGCTACCTGATACCGGCCACCAAATAGACTGCTCGCAGTCTCTTATTTTTCTTTGCAAAGTTACTACACGCAAAACCTAAGCACGCGAGTGGCGCAGGAGCTTGCCGTGAGAAACAAGGGCGTAGGCCCGAGAAGAAAAAATAAGAGACTGCTAACTTTTTTGTTCTGTGTGGGGACAACGAAGCTGTCAAGGTAATTTAATTAACCAATTAAACCCGAGTAACTTGAAACGATTTATAAATAGAACATAAACAACTGAAAATCTTACAGTTTCTTTAAATCCCGGTAAGATTGCCTTGAATTCGTTTCCCTTGAGGAAATTTACAGCAGTTTCCTTCTGTAAGATATCCTTAAAAGTTTTATTATTGAGATTACTGCATGGTTCGCTATTGTTTGCAGTTGTTTGTGACGCATGACTATTTTTATTGCTGGCAGTCAATGATCTGTCAACAGTTGTCCAATTGACCAGTCGGCTATTCCGTTTCTGGGCTGACGGAGGGTTTGTTTACTACAAAAGAGTCAGCAGTCCGTCTTTTCTCGTCTCGTCTCGATCCCTTGCAATCGCGCCGGATGAGATCAAGAACTAGATGGAAGGCGGACTGCAAGCAGTCTAGCCACCAAAAACACCTTTGGATTATTTTAAAAAATTCGAAATGTTTTTGAAGGAGGCAGATGCAAGGTATTCAATAAATTTACATACTGGGAGATTGAAGCCGTATAATTATTCATTCAAAATATTTCCCCAATTCTGATTGGCTAAAAGCACACGCATAATTCACCTTAACCACTTATTGATGACCAAATTTGGAAGAATTTTGTGTTTAACGAGGAAATGACGTCAAAAATGCAGCCTTCTACAGGTCAATGCACCGTTAACCCCGAACGAGGTTGAGTTGTTTTCGTTGTGAAAACTAAAACGGCGGACACTTCACTCGTTTGAAGAGTAAGAACTATAGCTGAAACAAGGCGAAATAAAGGCTAAAAACATAGCAAAAACAGCAAGAAGACAACTCGAAGGGTGACATCTGCTATTTGGAGAAATTTGCGGAGCTGGACGAACCTAAACGTACACTATCGAAGATAAACTTAACATCGATGCAGGTAAGCATGTTTTAGCTATGTTTTTAAACCAGGAATTATTTTGAATGAATATTAAAGCAATTAATGAATTCGGCTTTCGTTGATATCCACCTCGGCCTCCGGCCTCTGTGTATAACACCCTCCTCGATCTGCTTAATTTTTCATAATAAGAGTATTAAAATCCAGTCTGACAAAGTAGAAGTTGATATCCAGGGTTCTCTCTTCAACAACATTTTTCAAGCTCTGTATCTTGACTCGAGGATCCGCGCATCCTTAAGAATTTTCAGATCTAGTTTTATCCAAATTAGTGCAGCTTCCGATGGTTCATTGTTTGCTACAAGCTCACGAGGATTTCTCAAAATCAACATTACCAGTGTCTTGTTCAGAACCTGCAAGGCCAAGAAGTGTGGATGCGTTATAGTGATAGGGAAACCAAAAGAAGGGTATGGGCGTCGACATAACGAGTCCATTCCGGATGAATTATATTTCACTCTCAGTAATGTGACAATTGAACAGTGGACCGGTAGAAATTCCAAGTGTTCAGCTGTATATATTCTTCATAAAGGAGGAAAGTTGACAATAGAAGATTCAAGGTTTTATAAAAAGAGGTCAACATCAGTGGATGGTGCTTTGAATGTGAAGACGATAGGAGGGAAATCTAACATCACGGTTTCAAACTGCTCATTCATAGATAAATGCGTGCACAAAAGACGAGCGACCGCTTTCCAAGTAGTGGCATCAAATGGAAATGCCGGTATTGTAACAATACCAAACTCCCACTTCATAAGCAGCGAAAAGAAACAGAAGGCGTTACTGTCAATTCCCAAATACCGCATGAAATTGGTCAATATAACAGTGATATCATTTCGTTCTGGATTCCAGGTACTATCATCGCCTCCCAGAAATGACACGTTTTCGATTGATATCTACGTAGACAAATGCACTTTCGTGAATAATATTTTTGATATGCTGTTGACTCTGCTTGATCGAACCTCAGTCTACGTATCTATTCAAAACACCATTTTCATTAGTACTGAGACAATTTTTCGAAAAAGTTATGCTATTCGGCTTAATATTCCACCATTGAAAAATATCAGCTCAACAATTGCGGTCATAAAGTTGGACAATGACACTTTCCAATCAAAAACGTCAAGCAAGTTTGCTCTTTACTTTAAAGGAAAGAAACGCGTGACATTAAAGGGGTGTAAGTTTCTAAACTGCTGGTATGCTTACTCGAATTTACAGAGGTGGACGATACAGGAAACGGACGATTTTTATGAAACAGGTTCTGGTCCTATTTCGATATTGACGTTCGCTGATAGAGCTTTGAAGAGTGGATGTCTTCACTCAAACACTATTGATGACACACATGCTCTGTGGCAATACTAAAGTCGTGTAATATTCGAAGATACTGTGTTTAAGCAGAACGTGGGCACATAAGTAACGGATTCACCAGGTTTATTAGATGTGTCTTTCAAGATAATTTTGGCATTCAACAGAGCGGACACATTTATTCTGCATATGGAACTGGTAGAGTGGACTTGGAAGATTGTTTATTCTCTCGAACGAAGAAGACAACTTTGATATCTAATGTTTCCTACAATAACGTCATTTTCACATATTCTGAAAGTGGAGGGCCTTTAATAGTTAAAAACACGTCTTTCACATCAGTGGTCCCTGCAAGGAGCAACTTTCAGACTCAGGTAAATTAAGGCATGGGTCCCCAATGATTCAGTCAAAAAGTGATGGGGGGTGGTCTATCTCTGAGCACTTAAGCAGTAGAAAGATGAGACTTTGTCAGATACATACATGTGTGGTTTCTGTCAAATAGGGGATTTTCAATTATGCAAATGTTGTCACGTGACTCCACACGGCCAGAAAGCAATAAAAAGTCTTTAAACAAAAATGGCAACACTTTTTGTTGTGAGTTATTAAACCGGACTGGTTTACAACAATGTGTAATGCAAGCATCTACAAAACTGTGCTTGGCCTTTTTTGAATGTTTTACTGTTTTAGAAAATAAACGGCTTTTTCAACTAGACCCAGTCCCCCGAAGCAATTATATCCCATCTTAACGCCGTCGATTTTAAATATCTAAAAAAGGCCAAGCACAGAAATGATATATTAAAAGGCCTTGACATCATGCAACCGGTAAAATAATTGACGACACACGAGAAAGTGTTGCCGTTTCAAGAAGAGGCTTTTTCAGCCAGGGGAAGTCACGTGACCTAATTTGCATAATGTTAAAGCATGAAATTGACACAAACTAAAAATGTGGGTAGCTGGCAAAGTTTCATGTCTCTTCATCTAAAGCTCTTAGATATAGACCACCCCCTCACTTTTGAAGAGAGCAAATTCAGGCAAATTGAGGCCCATGCGTTAATTTACCTGAGGATGTTTGACATTTCTGGTGGCGGGTACGTCTACGTGGATGATAAAACCACAATGAGGTGTAGCAAGGGAAGTAAGCTATTATTCGAAAATGCCACCCATATTATATATACGGAGGAAAAAGGCGTTTCTTGTAGAATAAACGTTACTGTTTTGAAGTACTCTTGTGTTTCATGTCCACAAGGTTATTATAGCCTCCAAAAAGGAACTTCACGAGGATTATTTGTTAATTCCACTGTGGATTGTCTTCAGTGTCCATTCGGTGCCAGTTGCATTGAAAGAAATATAGCTGCAAAACCAAATTTCTGGGGTTATCAAGCAACGAATAGTCGCCAACAGCAACTGCAATTTTCTCCTTGTCCGGAACATTACTGTAAAAGTCCATCACAGGATTCAAAAGAGTCAAGAGAGAATGAGCTAGATCATTCTCTCTTGAAAGAGTGTAACAGTTGTCATGGGAAAAGAAATGGTACTCTCTGTGGAAAGTGCACCAAGGGATTCACAGAATCTCTGTTTTCAACCGAATGCTCTAAAACTACAGAATGCAACAGTTATTGGATTTGGGTTATGACGATGCTTTTGTCATTCAGATTGGTGCTTTATCTTTTGATACGATCGCCCATTCTGAATTTCCTTGTACATCAGAGCTTTTGGTATAGAAGAGACAACGCCCATCAAGTAAGACAACACGAAGACTCAGACAGCGGGTACATCAAAATAATATTTTATTTCTACCAAGTTGCAGGGCTTCAGATTGACACAGCCATGAAACGTCAGCTTAAAAAATTGCCCTTTTTTGCCTTCGTGATTTCATCCATTAATTTTCAACTTTCAACCGTCAATAATATCGGATGCCCTTTTCCAGGTCTTACAGCAGTGACAAAAGAGCTTCTTCTATCTGGGACTGTTCTCTTGACAATGGCAAACGTTTTCACCGTGTTTTTTGTACATTTGTTCATCAACACGTTGAGGCAAAAAGATAAGCCCAAGCTTATACACTACATGGCCGTTTTTATGGAGGTATTATTGCTGGGTTATGTGCGGTTGGCAGAAATGTCTCTGAAAATGATGCATTGTGTTTCAGTTGGATCTAAAAATAGGCTTTTTATCGATGGAAATGTTCCTTGTTTGCAATGGTGGCAGTATACACTGTTGGGTTACATTGCGGTGTTTGTATTACCATTCACCCTGGTACTCTACCGGGGTTCTTCACAGCTTTACACATGTTAAAGCAAGAGAGTTTCTCGCAGCCTGTGTGTTTCCATTGCCTTTTCTCATCTATTTGCTTTACCGGAGCATTCGGGATAGAGGAGCAGAAAACGAGTTGGGGAGTAATCAGGAAGTCGACAAACATGTTTCAAAAATACTCTATGGCCCATTTCGCCCTCCAAACAGTGCCAACAAAGGAACCCTCTACTGGGAAAGTGTTCTGATAGGCCGAAGGTTGATTCTTGTTGCACTCCATACCTTTATTACAGATGCAATGTTGCGGGGGATTTGCATGACAAGTGCATGCTTCATGATGACAATTCACCATCTGTTGAAGAACCCTTACAAAGTCCCATTGGCTAATAAAGGAGAAACATTGTCGCTAACTGTTTTGACAGTCATTACAGCAATCAATCTGCCAAAAGCAACCCTCTTCTCGTTTGGGATAGAAAAGAGTACCGATTCGTTGGAAACGATGAAGTGGATCAAGGTAGACGCCTTAGCCTTTATCCCAGCGATGGTGTGTCTCCTGGTAATTATCGCGTTGCTGTCCCAGCTAACTAGACTTGGAGTGGTTTTATTCAAGTATATTCGCCGTTTGTGTCAGTATCGTGCCTCTAATTTGACGGTAGACGAAAGCAGGCCACTTCTGGTTACAAGCGATTAAATAAGACAATTTGTTAAACAAATCGATGCCGTATCGGGGAGCCAATGAACGCCTCTCGTTCGACGTCCAGATGGAAGACATGGACGACGAGTCAGACAGGTTTTTGCACAACAGAAGACTAGCAAAAGCAAAGCATTGACATTTCGATTTTATCATGACAAGAACAATTATCACTTTTTAACCGAAAAACCTGAGTATGACATAGTATTTCACAAACTCGACGCTTGCAGTTGCCATTTGATGAAGCGAATCGAAGTTAAAATATACTGTCTAGTTATGCAACGCTTTCGATTGGTATGCCAATTGGAATA